CATTACCCAAAATTTAGCAAGTGCTGAGAGTGTGGACGTTGCCGCTAATGCAAAGCGGGGTGTCTTGAGTTTACGTAGGCAACCGAGTTTACGTCGTAGGCATCGATCTTATCTCTTCCTCTGTCCACGATGCCCACCGTGCGCCTACGTCCTACACGAAAGACTTTTCAAGCTAATCTACGGGATAACAACCTCAAACTCATTATTGAAGACAGCTGGAAGGAAGATCAGGATACGATCCCAGCCTCACTGCGGACGATGGCGAATAGATTGGCAGTCGTTCAGGCCTGGTCGGAATACATGGAGGTGACATATCCCGAGTTAAAGGGCAAGGAATTCATCGACACAGATGAATATCCTATGAAAGGTAGAGCAATTCTGATCCTCTTTTCATTGTCGTCCTTATGAGTATCATCAGAACGTGTCTACGGATTTCTCTTCCAACGCGTCGCCAGTTCCAAAGCACGCGGTCGTAAAGGCCACATGAGCTTCAGCAGCCTCCTCACCCTACGTTGGACGTTCTTGTCCACGGTGTGTTCCTTTTCAACATCTCCACAACTGACATCTGATTCCATTTACTAACCAGTTGCTCGACAATATGGAGTCGCCAAACCAGAAGCAGTGGACCGACGATACCTATATGGTAATCCGATTCTTCTCTCACTCCCTCTTCTCTGAATCTTTTAAAAGATGTGTAAAGCCATCCAAAGACGGTATAATCTCGAATCCCTACCAATGGACCGTATGCTATTCGGTATACAAGAAATACGATTGTTGGTTGAAGAGGCGCTTTCCGCCCCCGTTAATTGGGAGAACGTGCGTATTTTCACGTCGTCTTTATGGAATCCCTCACCAACACACGCCCAACAGTCTCTGCAGCATTGCTGCAGTATGTTGATGCACTTCCTATTCGGGCCGCGTCCTTCGTCGCTGTACACGGGCCAACAACTTAAAACTTTTTTGCAACACAAGGTCAGCCTCTGATCGCCCCCCGTTCAGCTCATTTCTAACCTTACCTAGAACATTATCTTACGCCGCGGCGCTCATCCGGGAATGATTGAACCTACGATTTATCTGACGGTCTTCAAAGGCCACATGGAAAACCAAATCAAGCTGACCTACACCATTCGCTGCCCAACCGAACTCCGTAATCTCTTCATGTACCTCGGCGGCATGATGCTTGCTCTTGCGATCCGGCGAGGCGATCTACGTGATCATAAAACCTGCTCGTCTGTCTGGAAAGACTGGCACTCCGCGGGCGAGACTCTTCACTGGGCCGACTTGGCACTCCCTTTCTTCCGAGCCGGTGGCCCTCGCGGACTGACAGTTACAATGGAGCCTCTGTCTGATCAAGGCGCCCGTGCTTTCTTCCACAAACTGGCGGGTAATGTCGGTATTGATGGTCAGTGGCCCATTCAGATTCTGCGACCATTCCCATCCTGACTCACTGATAGGCGCGGGCGGGATGACAATGTCGGCTAGCCCATACGGTTGCCGTGCAAATTTTGGCACGGAGATGGCCAAGGCCGTTGGTTTAGCTATCGCCGGCCGTGCCATGGCGCATGGGCCTAAATCCACTGCCCTATCCGAGTCCTACGACCAAGGAAACTCCCGCCTTGACTTTTTTGGAATAATGGCGGGAGAGCGCATCGAGCCCAACGTCCAAACTGGTCGGAATATCGCCATCTACCGCGCCCCGATCACAGTGACGCCGCTCGGTCTCGCGGAGCTTGTCGAAAAGCAGCCACTCATTGCCATCCTTCTGAAGCAGGCTCAGAACCTGCGAAGCGCTATGCTGATGGAGGCGGGGGATGACGAGCGCTGGAAGGATCTCATCGTAAGCAAAACGGATCCATCTCTCATTCGGAAGCTCAGAACGTTATAGTATGACCAGGATATTCTTACCGACGACGATACCATTGAGAGCTGCCTCCAGTGGACCCTCAAAAGAACCAAGGCCCTCATTGCGACTACCCGTGCCCAACATGTTACCGACGTCCGCCAAGAAGCCTCTCGCCAAATGCAGGACAACATTACTGTAGCCATGCGACGCGAGCGTATGGCCGAGATGGAGAAGCCTTCCACCCTCGCAGAGATGCTGAAACAGGCGCGTCTGAAGTGCCTGGAAAGCGACATGCCCATCCGGCTTGGAGATATCGAGACGGATGACAGTGATGATGCCGAAATACCTCCGATGGAGATTTATGAGCCCAGTGCTCAAGAAGATGAGGAGGCAGAGCAGCCATTGCCTCAGCATGTAGTCGACCTAGCCCGGATGGAGTTTATCAAGTATGTTCTTTCATTTGGCATCATCCCTCATGTGCGAAGATTGCTTCACCGACCCATCTTTGCCCGACGCAAAACGCACTGTCGAGTTTGCGTCCGAGACCACTAAAAAGGCGCACATGAAGGCAAAACTTCACAATCCAGATGCGCGCGCCATCCGTATGCTGAAGAAGGCTAACGCCTCCACTACTTTCTCACCTGACCGTTGCCCATACTGCACCGAACGCGGGCACAACGACCTCGCTCGGCTCTGTGAGCACATTGTGGAAAGGCACATCGACCACGAGGACATCCCCCTCGATGTCTATCGCATCTACGACGCCATGACAGACGAAGGAGTGCTGGCTACACGACACTGCCTTTCGGAGGAGGATAGGGCCGTAGCTCTTGTGCGTACGTTCGAGTTTTTGAAGGAACAAGGTGGAGCTGGCACAGATGGGCTTGCGAATCTCGAATGGGTGGAGTCTGCAGAAGGTTTCGAATTTGGCGGGGAAGAGGGTCTAGCGGAGGAAATGGAGAGATGGGGTGCCATGGACGACATGGATGTAGACCAGTAAAAAGATCCTGAAAATAATGACAATCACTTTTTTTTGGCACTTCTCGAAAAAGTTCTCCTGTAACAATGGCAAAACACTCGAAAAAGTTCGAAAAAGTTCTCCTGTAACAATTGCAAAACAGTGACATTCATTTACAACGGTTACAACATGCGAGTTCATCTTTAAGCAGTCCGTATGAGCTAAAATTACTGAGCGAGGAGGTTGGCAATTATCATAACATCGTCCTTGAGCGTCACGAAAAAAAAAGCGAAAGGAAAAAAGAAAAACCACGTTCAGTCCTCTTGTGCAGCCTGCTGACCAAGTACGAGCTCGTGCTTGTGAAGTAAGAGTTCGCGCTCACGAAGCTCGACCTCGAGCGTGCGCAACTCTAGTTCCTTCTCCCGTAACGCGAGCATTTTGATCTGGTAGTCGGCCCCTACGGCAGCCACGTCCACTTCTAGCATCGAACGCTTCTCTTCTAGTTTCATGCGGCGGGCGTCCTGGAGGACCTGCTGGGCTCTTACATACACGTCATACGCCCGAATGTACATCGTGTTGTAGTCCGCCGGTGCATCCGGCATGGGTCCTTTGAGAGCCATCGCGAGGCACAGATTGGTGAAGTATTCCGGATCATCCTGTATTATTTATCGGTAAGCCTTCCATGAAATATTGAAAAAGACGTACTCGGGCTGGATCGCTTGTAGTGTTTTTGGCTGTGTCCTGCTGTGCCTACGTCATTACACAACAATGCAAGAGTCTGTGAAGGTAACGTACTTTGGTTTTTCCCTTCCCTTTTTTCTCTTTGCTCTTTGCTTCTTCGGTAGTCTTGGTCGCAGGAGTCTGATACAAAGGGATCAGCGCCGTCTAATAACGCAACAATGCGACAGCCAGCGAGGGCGGCGTACTTTCTTGGCTGTGGGAGCAGTCTGAATTAAAGTGATCAGTGGTGTCATGATAGCGAACAAATGGCGGGCTCACCTTTTTTCCATCACGTTTAGGAACCATATCGACAACAGGTGCCTGTAAATGTGAGAAAAGCATAGACAGTAATAGAATGGCAGACTTACAGCAGTCGACCCCGAGCCCCCCTTGGTCGTCTTGCGTTTCGCAGTAGTTACCTCCTCTTCATCATCAGAAATTGCGAGTACTTCCTACAGGCAAGTTCTGAGGTGCGCCACTAGGATAGAATGGAACACTTACTCTTTCGACGGGAGCTCTTGCCCGGGACTTCCGCGGCGGAGATGGATCCTGGTTTTCTTTTTCGCTCTAACATGGGATGAGGTTTACGGAGACTATACGGAGATTGGAGATACCTCAGGGTCCGAGTAATCATCATCATCTTGGAGCTTCAGAGCGGGATCGCGCTGGATAAACATATCTGAGCAGATGGCATAAAAATGAGGTGAGACACTTACGCGGGGACGCTTAGCACTGGGTTTGTCAATATCGATATCAGACTCTTCATCAAGAGTGCGTGTGCGTTTCTTGGATGGGCCCATTTCGGCCAATCTGCATAGAAGATTCAGGGGCCTTGAAGTTACAGAGCATGTGTTGCCACTTACATGTCATCGGGGGTCCTGGAGCTGTTCACTCTCTTTACATTATCTTTCAAACGCTGCATAGCAGCTTCTGCGGAACGTGATCTGCGAAGAAACTGGTCAGAAAAGAACAGGTATAATGACAGTGTGCGCCTACGCTGAATTATAACTGGCCGGGGCAGTGGATCCCTCAGGGGCAGTCGGGCGGGTGATTCGGTCTCCGGCAAAGTTCAGAAGTTTCGATGGTTTGCTTGTCATCTTCCAAAAAAAGTGTTTCAAGGTTTCAAGAAGATGGTCGCCTTTCAAAAGAGACTGGTCACACGCGTCACGCTAGGCGGCTTTAAATGGGGATCAGAAGCGGGGGATTTTTGGTGGTAACACTAGGTTAGGTTAGAAGTATACTATTCAGTATGTAGTATATTGGTTATTGTGCCTGCTTAGCATTCACGTCATTTGTTGAGGTCTGTCGTTCGAATTGGCACTCATCCATTTTTTTTGGAACTGACTGTTAAAATAAATTTTGAAACGCGTAATGGTTAAACAGCCATGAATGCGCGTCGATTCAAAGGAACACACACAACCTCAATTTCAAAGACTATCCTCACTTGCCACAAATATTGGAGAACAAAAGAAAGAAAAATGGACAAATGGAGAGTCGAACTCCAGACCTCCCGCAGGGTCACGTGATGACCGATCAGATCACGTTATGCGAAGCGGGCGCGATAACCAACTACACTATTTGCCCGTATCGTCTTGTCAGGAACACTATCCTAAACTCAGTCAATAAAACACGTTTAACCAACTACACCAAAGCTCCTGCATTTCAACTGCATTCTGCTTGGCACAGATTGACCAGCTACTGTGGTACAAACGGCGACCAAGTCAGAGAGTTGGAGGCCATGAAGAGATGACCAGTTGCACTTTTCGCCGATTGACACAAGTTCGCAAGTACTTCAAGACCACCTACCGCTACACTGTTCACCAGAAAGCAAAGGTTCATACAACCGAGGGAGATCAATTTTGTTTGAAGTGTCTGTCACCGGGAGAGCTAAGGCAAGGGGTGGGGCACCCAATCGGAAACTCAAAGAGTGGAAGGATAACCAACTCCAGCCAACTCCTGATCAAAATGCCTTTACATAATTATCACCCATGGACTCTGGACGCTTCCCACCCGACTCGTAGTTCTTTGGAAAGGAATCGAGGATGCCGGAGAAGATTTATCTTGCGTATCATGGTACTACCATTGGTATTAGTGGTTGAGTTGCAGAGTCACGCGTTTATGTGACAAGATGTTCTCTTTCCGCGCCGCGCGCCGGTACTCGTCGGCCGTCTCACGAGCGAAAAAGTACTCGACATCTGTAGAGCCCCAGGACCCAGCTGCATACTGCCGGGAGCTGGTGCGCAAGCATGACTATGAGTCGTTCCTCATTAGCAAGTTCTGGCGCACAGGCGAGCAGCAGGATGGGTACTTTGCGATCAAGGCGTTTTCTGTGCGTCTTTTGACCAGAACTCGACTGGGAACGCGCTTATGTGGGGTTAAACCAGACAGAGCTGGCCATGGTACAGGACAACGTGAGCTTGCCGACGATCGGCGCGGTGCGCATGCAGTTCTGGCGGGACGCGGTGCGCGACATTTACGCTGTGCGTCAAGGGGACTAGGGCTGTCGATTCGGGTCTGACGCTGACGGGCGGGGTAGGACAATCCACCGCGACATCCTGTTGCGCTCGCGCTGCACCGTGCGACTCGAAGTGCCAGCCTGCCCGCGTACCACCTCAAAAGAATTATTGACGCACGCGACGAGGAGCTGCGCACAAACTCGTATCCGACGAGCGACGCGCTGGTGGCGCACGCGGAGAGCGTGTCGTCGAGTGTACTGTATTTGCTCCTCGCGCTCCGGGGCCTGGGCGGCGCGGAGGACTTGGCGCACGCAGCGTCGCATCTCGGGACAGCGCAGACGCTCGCGACACTGTTGTGGTCGCTGCCGCATCACGCCGGCCAGCGGCGGCTCCCGATCCCGTTGGACCTCTGTGCGCGACACAAAGTAAAACAGGAGGACGTGTTCCGGTACGGCGGGAACGCGGAGGGGGTGGACGCGGCGGTGTACGACTTTGCGGTGTTGGCGAACGACCACATGCTGACCGCGCGTGAAGTCTTCAAGGGGACAGGCGGCAAGGTGCCGATGGGTGCGATGCCGGTGTTCCTAGCGGGAGTGCCGGTGGCGAGCTTTCTGGCGCAGTTGGAGCGGGCCAACTTTGATGCGTTTGCGCCGTCGCTGGCGGTGCGGGATTGGCGACTGTCATGGAGGATATGGACTGGGTATTATAGGAGGGAGTTCTAGTAGTGCGCAAAATATCGTTCATCTCTTTATCTGAAGGGCACATTTTGCGTCTCGCGGCGCTGTTGTGCGCCGCTAAAAGGCGCTTCTTAGGTTCATCGTCTACTTTCTCCCGGATTCAATTTAGCGAGCAAGAAAAACGACCTACAATCAAACGCTGTACCAAAAGAACTACATCGATGTCGAAAATCTACCCGGTTCAAAACATCAGTTTAAACTGGCAAAAGACGTGGTCCAAACACAGAACGAGATATGAATTATTATACGGAAATGAGTGCCTTCTTGCCTAATGGTCTGGAGTAGGCTGGTTGAAGTCAGTGACTGCACTTCCGGAGAAAGCTCGCCACAAGAAGGGACGATAGAGCGGAGACGTAGTCACATGTGAATCTGCGAATCACTTGAAAAGCAATGGAGGGCGGGTGAGAATGCGCTAAACCTCGGCGGTCACTCTGGCGAATGTGGTTTAATGCAATTGAGCGATGATTGAGCGACGGTCGAATCCTGAAAGAGATTGGAAATAGTCTGGAGACCTTGATGGGAGGCCAGACGAGTAGGAGCCTCTGATCAGGTATTGGGAGTGGCGCATCTGGGTCAGCGACCATGGTGTCCGATTCTTGTGTGCCAAATCCAAGATGAGTGGTTAATTAAAGCTGACATCCGACCAAGAGAACGCCAAGCTCCACAAGCAGGGAACTGTGGTGTGAAGGACGTGCATCGACAGTGACCCTGAATAGGTAGTTGTCCGCAACGCAATGAGGCTGGCGACAGAAGCATTTGGTAGTACGCAAGGCGGCCGCCGACTCGAGACCCTGAGGCAACGAACATTTGAGACTTCCGGGTTCAGTCGACAATTACAGATTCCATATTTTTGGCGCGGACACGGAGTTTCTAGTTTATTCACCTTGACCGAGTCGAAGGCTGGTGGAATTGAGGCGGAATGAAGAAGGAACGAACCGTGAGAACGTGAGAGAATTGATGGTTGCCACATTTGGATTCGCCCCTATTCCGCCGCTCGATTCGGAAGTACTACGCCCGGGCCGAACTTAGCAATTATCCCGTTACCACGCTTGCCGGGACTCTCTCTGCTACCACCACCACGCCATGTCCCTCACTTCGGTCCCCGACGAGGTGCTATCCCTTATATTCTCGCACTGCCCGGATCCGACTGCCCTCACCTTAGCAAACCGCCGTCTTCACCTCTTCTCCCAAGATCCATACGTCCGTGCTCACTATTTTCTCTCCCGATACGGCACAATCCAGGCTCTCTACTTTGCTTTCTGCCGTGGAAAGCTCATCACCCCCCGCGTTATCGATGTATGCTCTTTTCATCCGTGGCGTGCCACTGGCTCATTCGCCTAGATCCTCCTTGCCAGCGGCGCCCACCTCTCCCGCTATCTCGTTCAAGTCGCTTTCCACCACTTTTTCCACTGCCAGTCCCACTTCCTCAAGCCCTCCACTCAAAATTGGTCCCGCAATTTATCTTGGCCAGCCTTTAACCACTTTTTGGCCGTGGCCGCTGACAGGTTCGACCAGATTCCCCGTGGAAAGGTCCGTCCTGCGCGTCTATTTATATAAAAATACCTCAATTATTTTCAAGAATGAGGACGACGGCGCAGTCTTTACCACCTTCATTAAGGAGGCAAAGTTCTCCGCCGAGGCTCAGAGCGTGTCCTGGGAGACTATTCGCGATATCTTCGACAAGTACCGCGTATGTCCCTGTCTCGCTCATCCAACTTTTTGGTTTATTTCTCGCCAGTTCATCCCTTTCTGCAACCGCGACCCACTCATGGCTCAACTCCCGCTTGCTCTCGCCATTGAACCACGCTTGCTCCCCTACGCCGTCGCGAACGGCTTCGAAATGGATGCCAAGGTAGTTTTTTTAAATGCCGGTAGGTTCTGCTGCTCATTCGCTGCTCATCTACCCAGTACCGCGATTTTGTTGTTCGCAAAATGTTTGAGAAAACGTCCGCTCCCGCGGCCGCTCATGCGGAACAGATTGTCGCGAATGTTCGCGAACTCTGCCGCCTCGATCCAGCGTGCGTGTTCTTGCGTGAGAGTTCATTAATTAGATCCTTATACGCGCGCAGCATGTTCGTCACGCGTACCGTCGCGGCCGAAGCGCTCCTCGAGGCCAAGACCAACGAGGCCGCATACAGTGCGCTAAAGCAACTCGACCGCGCAGGCGACTTGCCATTTTCTCTCGCGTAAGACGGCTAATCTATTTCCGTTTTAAACGCGTGTTTATTCAATTGCAGAGAACTTGTACAAGATGTCATAAAGGTGCAGAAAACACGGTTTGTCGCGCGGAATGTTCGACTAACATAATTACGCCAGCTCTTCCTCAAGGCGCGCGCGATCACAAGCATGGCCACGACGCAGATTCTCACGCAACTCTACACCGACTTCCTCGCTCCGCCGCCTGTGCCCGCTGCCTTTGCCTCTGCCTCGTACCTCGGCGCTCCGCGCGTGGCGATCGATCCGACCGTCCGCCGCACCATGTTCCTCACAGTCTTCGCCTCGGACCCGCCTATTCTCGTGTCCACCATGCCCGCGCGCCTCGAGCCCCTCCGTCTCGGGCCTCTGAGCCTCAAGGACGCGGCGGACGTGCTCACGAGTGCGTTCGTCGAGAAGCACGCGCCGATGTTCGAGTACCTGCGCCGCGAGGGCGTGGCGAGTGAGCTGCCTGGCGCGGCGACGAGGAAGGTGACGCACACGGACTTACGGACGCTCGCAGAGGACGTGGCGGTCCGGTGTTTGACCCTGGAGAGCAAGGGGAAGACGCTGAAACGGTTGTGCGATGCGTATCCCACAGTGCGGGTGCGGATTGTTCAGGCGGTATTGGGGGAGCATGAGGTGAAGCTGGAACATTTGGCGCAGTTGGGGGAAGCTATAGAGAACGGAGAGAGCGTGCAAGCGCGGCTGGCGAGGCACATGGGCGGGATCGTGGTGGGCGAGGAGGCGGACAACGATAGTGAGCCGGAGGGTAGGGATGAGTTGGAAGATGAGCATGATGAAGACGACGACGACGACGACATGGAGAGTGTTATGGGAGAAGGGAGCGTGTGGAGCGCGGGCCCAAAGGCTAGGAAGGCAAAGCTGTCCACGCACGACCTGGGTGGAATTGGGCTGGAACCGCTTACCACGATGATTCGCCGCGACGAGCAAGGCGTGCGCGTCCGGCGCCGGTACTACAACCACCACCTGGCGCATGCGCAAATCAACCTCTCTTCGCGGATGCCGACGGGTGGGTTTCATTTCTGCGCCTTTTTTTCTTTCTGTAGGTTGACTCCTTATATGTAGACCCGCTCTCGGTGGCGAGGTGGATAAAGTCTGAGTTTGGAGTGTCAAGCAGCATTACGGCGACGTTCCTCACCCACGCGATTATCAATGGGAACTACACGGTGCGTTG